CCGCGCGGGCCTGTGGCCGAGACCCATGGAAGGTCTGGGGGTAACAGCCAGGAGCTGGGGGGCGAGGGGAACATGGTGGGCCCCTGGGCACCTTGACTGGGGAGGCTGCTGGGCTTCAAGCCCCCCGGCTGGGGCCCTTCATCACAAGCTGAAACCACCACACAGGCCCAAGGAGAGCAGCAAGCCGGGGCCCCCTCCCCTGGCCACCCAAGGCTGGGCCTTGCAGACGCGACCACGGCACCCCGTTCTGCAAGCTCCAGGCAGCACGGCGCGTGTCCTCCCAGTGGCCTGGTGGCTCAAGCTCCGCTCCTAGAGAACAGGGGCGTCACCCCAGGCCCAGGCCCAGGCCCCGCAGAGGGTTCCTCTAGGGTCCCTGCCTCCTTAGGGCGACGCTCAGGCTAGAGGGTCCACTGTGGCCAAGTATGCCCTGGTGTCGTGTGGACCCTTGCAGGTCCCCAGCCTGGGCCCTGCCCCTCTCTGTGGGGGACCCTGTCCCTTGATACCCACCTGAGCTTTCAGAGTCCCGGAGGACACACCTTCAGCCTGGGATGGCCCAGGAGGCTGCTCTGTCCTGGCTTACACACAGAGAGTCACCACACACAGAGGACATTCCACCTGTGAGGGTGCCAGCTCAGGGGGAAAGATGCACAGAGACACCCTACATCCCCAAATCTACCTCCTGGGAGGTTGCAGCACCCAGAGTGGGGCAGAGGAGCCCCTGCCAGGGCCGGAGCGAGGCTGGAGAGAAGCGGGTCCAGGCTTAGAGAGGCGGCCTGGGGCAGAGAGGAGCCCCTGGTCGGCTGAGGCCAGAGCTGAGGTCCCAGACCAGATAAGAAGCCCTGCCCTAACAGGGACAGGCCCCAACACAGGACGGCCCCAGAGACTGGCCCTCATGTGCACGGGATGGTCCCCGACACAGGTCACCCCCAGGGTGGACGACCCTGGCACAGACAGGATGGTGCCCACGGAGGATGGCCCTGGTGTGGACAGGAGACCCCCATAGACGACGGGCCCTGGTGGGGACAGCATGGTCCCCACGGCACACGGACCCATGATGGACAGGAGTGGGACCCTGACGCAGGTGGGAGGGGGCGTTTCTGGCTGAGCAGCACTCCGGCCTGGGTCCCCGGAACTGATGGGACACTGCTGGTACATTATCAGGCAGCTCCTCTCCTTCCATGCAAGCAGGCCGGCCGGCCTGCCTGCCTGCCTGCCAGGATGGGGGCAACCTACCACCAAGCCAGCTGCAAGGTGGGCGCCCTCTGGTGTGGACACGGGCTCCTATCCCTGGAGGAGCTCTGGACTCATGAGGCAATGCCGTGTGGGGCCGAGGGCCCAAGACAGCTTGGTTTCAGCTACACATTTTTTCCCTATTTATTATTTTTTTATAGAGATAGGGTTTTGCCATAGGACATGTGTGCTCATTGGAGAGAGAAGCCAGAAAGCGGGAAGTCACCCTCCCAGGGAGGATGGCCAGGCTGCAATCCCTTCTCCATTCTACTCTCGGGATCTTGGGTGCACATGCACATACGCCTGGTGTTGAGTTTTAAGCTGCCAGGTCCTGGACTCGAACCATGATCAACCAAGCGGGAGTCCAGTGACAACCACTGCACCATTGACTGGTCCCCAGCTTTCACATCTCCATTGAAAGGCCTGCTTAGGGGCCAGTGGGTGACGTGGTGGTTAGGGCAGCTGGATTCCACATGGTCAAGTGCAGTGTTCTAGTCCCACACCTGGTGGTCTGAGAAAGACGTGGGGCACAATGCCGAAAGGAGGGAAACAAGAGAGAGTGCGGTGTTGGCCATCCTCCATGGGGCTGCTTTCTTGCTTTCCTGCTCTCTCTGGTCAGCACATGTGCCCTCTGGCAGAAAGACAAAAACAAAAACGAAACCAGCTTACCTTGGTAAGCATAAGCAGCCCTTCCTGAGAACAAGGCTGTCCGCCCAGCCGCACGGCAGGGCATCGCGGGCCCGAGCTCCAGCCGCAGGGCCCAGGCAGGGGCACGCCCTCACGGACGGGCCTCCCTGGAGAGACAGTGCAGCAGTGGGCTGGAGGACAGATACCAAGTGGGCTGGAATCAGTGGCGCCAGGCACAGCCACGCGCCAGGAAGGGGCCGCAGAGCCTGCCTGCCACCAGGCACCAGGCGACCGGCCCTCCATGGTCTCCACCCCGGGGACGAGCGGAGCAGACCGGAGGCGGCTCCTGGGCACTGAGGCCAAGGGTGGGCTCTGGCTGTGCAGACGTGACACAGACACTGACTGGGGTCCCAGCCGCGAGAGGAGTGAGCAGACCCCAGAGCAGGTGGTCTTCGGCTCTCCTCAGCCTCGGCATGCCCTGGTGAAGCCACGCCACCTTCTCGCAGATACGAGGGCTGTGGCAGTCCTTTGGTCCAAGAGTTGGCCCCAAGGACGTCCTGGGGGTGGAAGCCACGTAGGGTCGGTGGGTCCCCCCTTTCTAGTTCCCTGCCTTGCAGAGCCATGGCCGCAGCGTGTCGGGGACCCTGCAGAAGCACACACGGGGCTGCCATGGCTCTCCTCCAGGTGAGAGGGCAACGCCCACTGCCAGCCACAGCACCAAGGTCTGAGCACGCAGCTCTAGAAGCAGGAGGTGGGGCCAGCGGCTTGTCTGGGGGTCGAGGTGGCTGGGTCCCATGTGGCTGATGGCGAGGTTCAAGTGCCACACCTAGTGGATTCAAAATCATTCTGAGTACTTGAGCGTGGCCCACATCCCGAGGGAATGGAGAGGGCTGGTGGCGTGGCCCACCCTGTCGGGGCTGGTTCCCACTGTCTCTGGCAAAGGCACGTGTCCAACGGCCAAGGCCGAGGAAGGGTAAGCCATGACGAAGGCAGGGTGAGGAAAGTCAGGTGGGCCCTGGACGGAGGGGTGCCCCAGGAGGAACTGTTCTCAGCCGGAGAGCTGGGAGGACGACGCCACGCCAGGAGCCCCCTTGGCCCTCCCCCGCCCCGGCCGGAGCGGCTCCTGTGAGAGCTCCCAGTGACATGCAGAGCAGGGCTCCCGCAGGGTGGGACACCACGACAACTGGGGGCAGGACGCCAACGCAATCTTGGGAAAAAATTTAATGCAAACATTTAGCCACGAGAACATACAAATAAATAAACAAGCTCGGAATAGCTGAGGAGAACACCACGAGCAAGTGTAACCGCCAATTTCTTAGTCCCCCATAGTCCCCTTCCCAAATACTGATAATAAAATAGACAAGTCAGCTATGAGATAAAGAACATTCAACATAAAACAACCTAAAATAAAATAAAACCAAACACAAACCCTAATTATTTTATTTCTGTATATCAGGACTACAAATAGCCTTTAACACTTAATTTATTATTCAAATTAAGAAATTATACATTTTGTTTTGATAATGGGCATTGTCTTAAGTGTCGCTCACTCTCCCACGTTTAAAAGTATATTGCTAGTTACGGTCAACCACTATGCCGGCAGGGAGCTCAGCGACAGGGAAGTGCTGGGCCCGGGACAGACAACCAGGCCAGCCTCCCGTGTCAGCGAAGGCCAGCTCGGCTCCGTGGCCAAGGCCGTGGCGCACCATTCCAGGGACCGGAACTGCCCGATGACGAGCCAGGTCCTGGTGAAGGGCCTCAGCGTGACGGGGTCGCGATGCCTCTTCCTCCCGGACACGAGTCAGACCTGACCCGTCCTCCCTGCCAGGCAGCCCGCCACGTTGACTCGAGGGACTCTGGTAGGCACGGTCTGCCCTCCGGAGTCGTCACTCAGCACAAGGACAGGTGCACCAGCATCGCAGACCCTCCCCAGCACCTTCCCCAGCTCTCCAGGCACAACGCAGAGGCGAAGGCGGATCCGGCCTCAGTTCACACCACAAACAGGGAGGCCGGCCAACATCGCAACCAGCAGGCTTGCCCCATTCTGGGAACGGGGTTTTAAAGCACAGAGAAAATGCCACCACCCTATCCACTTCCCAGCCTGACTCCGGGCAAAGGCAGCAGGAACAAAACGCCACTTGCTCTAACACAGTCGGCATGTAGACAGCCTGGCCGGCCACCACGAGGAGCACGGCAACAGCAAGCGTCTCCTCAGCTGAACCCCGAGACCGTGCAGGGTGGCTCGGGAAGGGCCTCGAATCTGATCAGCAGAGCCAAAGCTTCATCTTTGGTTAATTTCACTGAAGTTGCCACTAGCCTAAAAATCTGTGCTCTTCTTGGCAAATTGCTAGCTCAGCCACGTTTGTACTTTACGTAATCTGAAAAGCAGTATCCATCGAACACGTGGCCACACTGAAATAAAACTTATTTTGAAAACGGGGGAAGGGAGGAATGCTGGGAAGAAGGCGGGGCCTAGGAGAGCCGTGGGCGTCCGGCCTGAGCACCCTCGTGGTCCGCGAGGGCATGAGGAGGAGGCACTGGTGACCCTGCAGAGGGCCGGCCCTGCCGGACAGCTCAGCTCAGCTCGAAGCCGGCAGCACACTCGATGGCGTACAGGAGCTTGCTCCGCAGAAGTGCCTCGTCGTGGAACTCAGGCAGCTTCAGGAGGTTCATGCAGGTGCTGGCCGTGGGCAGCCGCTCGAGGTCGGAGCCTCCGTGGTGAATGCAGAAGGCCGGGTACAGCTCCTGAAAAGCACAGGTGCACAGCACAGCATCAGCCTGGCTGCAGGTACACCCTGGGAGCAGCACAGCCAGCCAGCACCGCCGTTGCACTCCCCCAGAAGCACGCGGGCTTCTCTTCACTCGACGGAAGACTTAGCTGTCAGCCACTCCACATTGTGCACGTCTGTTGCAGCTCATGAAGACAGAAGAAAGAGCCCTAATCAAGGCCGCCCCTGTGGCCAAGCACCTGGGGTACCATCCTGGCAGCTTGGAAAACATGGCAGGCACACATGGTACCCTAACTGCGGCGGGGATGGAGATGGAGGGAAAGGGACTGCAGTGACCATGCTCCCAGGGGGAGCCTCCACCTCTGGCAAGTGCACGCGCCCTCTGTCCTCCCTCACCCAGAGCATTCGTACGCGGGAGACACTCTCAGTGGACAGGGCCTCTAGAGGTTTTGCTTTGTGTGTTTTTTCTTTTTTTACTTGCCAGAGGACATGTGCACTTACATGGGAAAGCACCCAGTGGGTTGTGGGGTGTGGGCTGTGGGCACACACCCCGACCCCACCTCCCCAACCGTCGGCTGGACATGCATGCACTGGGCCTCGAGTGCCTCTCCAGCTGCTGAGGGCAGGCCTAGAACGTGTGGCCTGAAGGCCAGCTCTGCTTGGCCACACTTTCTCTGTGTGACCCCAGGCAACCTCGGCCTCGCTTTCTGGGAGCAGTCTGGCAGTACGTGAGGGCCTCCCGCACGCTGGTGTCCTCTCAGCCAGCATTTGCTTTTAGGGCCACACTCTCGGCAATGAGCAGGTGGCAGCTCATGCACCCCCAGCCTGGAGCGCGGCGACTCAGTGCTGTGCACACAAAGCCGGACCCCATAGGCCACCTGCAGCTCGCACCTTAGCCCTGGTGCGCAGACCCTGATCTGGACAGGGCAGACGAATGGAGGGCAGAGGACTGCAGCGTGACCACACTGATGGGGTGCTCACACTCTCCCTCTCTCCAGTGAGCGCATGCCCACTGGCAGTATGACGCAACACGTCATGGCGGGACATCACACGGCCACTGAAAACACTCCAGACTATCTGTCTGTCTGTCTGTCTATCTATCTATCTATCTATCTATC